AGAGGGCTGGTGGAGGAAGGAAGTGGTGTGGGGTGGGGGTGGGTGATGAGTGGGAGGCATGTGGTGGGTGGGGGTGGGGTAGGAAGCCACGTGAGTAGCTTCCCTAGTAAAGGGTTGTGATCGAAGGACAGAGCCCATAGAATATGCACCTGGGAGAGGTGGGGAACCCAGAAATCAGGGGGAAGCACTCATAACACCCACTGTGAGCCTAGCTCACAGCCTGGAACCCACCCACAACTACATTCCAGGATTCACAACCCCAGATGGCCCAGCTGACCTCCCCACTTGTGGGGTCTGCCCTGTTCCTTGCCCAGCTCGACTGACTTTACAGGATGGAGGACAGAGCACAACAGGTAGATTAGATTCTTACCCTTTTCCCCAGAAAGCCTCCATATGTCTTGGTTCACTAGAATCATGCATTTACTAGCATTTTTATTTTCTGAAACCATGGCGGTGATTATAATCGCAGTTCCTCGATATATACCGTGACAGTTTTGGAAGTACCTTGAGGCTTATCTTCATTCATTATGTCTACGGCAGCTCTGGGCTTTTTGATAGAAAACCTTTAGAAGGGTTCAGACAGCCAAAGGGCATTTGTGGAATTTTTAATAATTTTCTCTCTCTCTGAGTTGGGTGGTTGGGGCAGAGGACGTTAATGCCATTTATTACTTATTCTGCAGCTATTGCTTTGCTGTCTACATTGAGGGCATTATGCACACTTACTGCTTGGTTCATTTCCTAGGCTGTCACATTATTGTTGTAGCATGGCATTTAACATTATAATTTGGTCTGTTTTTCAAATGTTATATATGCAATTGATGTCTCTGCTCTCTTAAATATAAAAGCTAGAAAGAAATGCCATTCTCTACTTCTCAACATAGTTTTGAGGCGCCTGGGTGGCTCAGTCAGTTAAGCTGACTTCAGCTCAGGTTATGATGTCACGGTTAGTGAGTTCGAGCCCCGAATCCGGTTCTGTGCTGACAGTCCAGAGCCTGGAGCCTGCTTCAGATTCTGTGTCTCCCTCTCTCTCTGCTCCTTTCCCATTCGTGCTCTGTCTCTGTCTCTCAAAAATGAATAAATGTTAAAAAAAATAAAAAAAAAAACCAAAAAAAAAACCCCAAACCCATAGTTTGTTTCCTAGGATCAGTATAATTCTCTACACAAGGTCCTAACAGACCATACTCTAAGTCTCGTTTTGCTTTGTTTTCTAGTTAGTTAATTAGATTTTTTGGTGGTATGATAGATTTACTTATTTATATAATTACATAACTATATATAACCCCTTTATTTTATAATCAAGGTGTTTTGTCTATCAATAAATATCCACTCTTTATATTTCAAAACAGTTGCCAAATTGCTTTACCAGTTCAGTTTGTATGATGAAATTCACACTGTGATTGAAAAGTGCATTTCTTCACAAATTGACATATTTGGTTAGGTGCTTTTGGAGGGATGATGATAAGTCTGAGCTTTTTGTGGAACAAAGCTACAGAAGGGAGAGTAGTTAGGAATGGGACAGCATGGAAGAAGGCTGGGAAAGTTGTCACATATAAGATTGTCCCCCAATGGTCTGTGGCAGTGGCCCTCAACCGCCGCTACATAGAGGAATCACCTGGGAATGTTAAACAGCTCCAGCACCCAGTCCCGGCCTCTGGAGGCTTTGGCTTACTTGGCACGGGATGGACCCTGCATCAGACTTGCCTCCCATGCGGCAGGGAGCATGAAACCAAATATCCAGTAGATGCCATGTATACTTGCTGATTTCTTTCAGAAGCTATCAGTTCTCAAAGCAGAGTAGGGAAAAGGAAAACTACTTTCGTCAATAAACACAAAACTTGGCTACTCTAGATTTCAAAGTAGATTAGCAGTCTTGGGAAGGGTGGGCTCCTATTCTCCTGAGACTCCAAGCTACACCAAGCCCTGCCCTAAACACAGCCCTGCCCTAACACCCCTGCAATAGAACTGAGGGGAGACTGGAATATTCAAGTCAGATTTTATTATCAACTAGGCCAACAGATGCAAAATAAGATCTCAGCGCCGCTATCTATAAAGCCTTAGGTTGGAGGTAGGGGTCACTTAGCTTCTTGTAGTTTGGTTTCCTTGTATTTTTTTTCTTTTCTTTTCTTTTTTTTTACCTTAATTTAAAAATACTTTATTGCTAAAAAATGCTAACCATCATCTGAGCTTTCAGTGAGTCATAACCACTGGTCACAGATCACCATAACAAATGTAATAATAACAAAAAAGTTTGAAATATGGTAATCACCAAAATTTGACAGAGACATGAAGTAAGCAAATGCTGTGGGGAAAATGACACCAAGACTTCTTTGACACAGGGTTGCCACAGACCCTTAATTTGTAAAAGAGTTATTAGCTATAAAGCACAATTAAGCAAAGTACAATAAGACAAGGGATGCCTGTATGCTTTCTCATTAGGAATTGGCTTACAGCAGGATACATCTATCCTACTGGTTGTTTCCCTGGCAGAACCCTAACCAATACATAAAATAATAATACATCTCAGGGGAGACAGAGTAGATCAGTGCTACTATTAAAAACCTAAAAGATGCAGAGAATGGTAGGCCCTGTATCTTTGCACCTATAGCAAAATGGGGGTTCCCGGATGACCAGCTGGAGCAGAAAACAGCTTGAGCGTGGTGGGTCAGCTCAGTATGTGGGGATAAAGTGAAGATGAATGGTTCTGCATTACAGCCACATTTAGGGGTGGAGAAAGAAAAAATTTCCAATGGACAGAACCTCGAGCAGTGCACTTGACTTGGTGTAAAAGAAGTGGCCTAAACAGAGAATATTTATTGCATATATACTGACTCCTAGGCAGTGGCCAATGGCCTGACCATCTAGTTGGGAGACTGGAAGGGAAAGGGCTGAAGATCAGAGACAAGGTCTGGTGTAAATGCTGTGGACTGACATGTGGGGGTAGGCAAAGTGTGAATATCTCTGTATCACACGTTAACATCCATCAGAGCATCCAGCATGGAAGAGGCACTGAACTACCAAGCACACAAAAGGACTCACCCAAGTGCACTGGCCTTTGTCAATGGCTAACACACAACGGGCATAATGGACACATAAGCAAAGTGACCACAAGGGTCATCAGAGGTCCAACAGCAAGGACTCCTGCTTGCCAAGGCTCATCCAACAGGAACTCTTCTGACAGGCAACTTTGGCTCAAGAACTCACTGTTGGTCTTGCTGAAACATTCTCAGAATGCCAGAGCAGTGTAAAGCCTTTTCCTACTCAATCTTCCTTCTTTCCTCCCCTCTTCTCCAGCGGTTAGACCTCTATCAGGGTCTGACTGCTTTCCCTGACTCATGCCACCTCCTTCTCCATTTTCTTTCATGGGCATGTTCCCCTAAAAAATCTCTTGTGCATCTAATCTTGGACCCAAAATAACATACCAGGTAAACTAAATGTGCTCACTATTAAAAATGTATTCCTCGGTTTCACAGGGCCAGAAATTCAGTTTTAATAGTTCAGCAGGGATATTAAAGTCCTGGTGGGAACTAATTCCTACCAAACTCATAAGGGACTGATTGATAAAATAAAAGAGCAAGATTTTCAAAACTGTTGAAAAAACTGCCAAGGAGACCAGATGGATATGCAGTGGAGCTGACAGTGTTCCCATCTCAGCAAGAACAGCTAATTAAAAAGGAAACTAGGTGGGTCACCTGGGTGGCTCAGTCAATTGAGCCTCCGACTTCGGTTTGGGTCATGATCTTACGGTTCGTGGGTTCGAGCCCCACATCGGGCTCTGTGCTAATAGCTCTGAGCCTGGAACCTGTTTCGGATTCTGTGTCTCCCTTTCTCTCTCTGACCCTCCCCTGCTCACGCTGTCTCTCTCTCTCTCTCTCTCTCTCAGAAATAAATAAAAAACATTAAAAAAAAAAAAAAGGAAACTAGGCCCACAAGTAGCCTGGTATGTCTGAAATGTGAAAAAAGAGCTGGCTAGCCAAGAGGTAGAAACCCAAATGTCTATTCACTGATGAATGGGTAACAAAATGTGGTATATCCATACAATAGGATATTATTCAGCCATCAAAAGGAACAAAGTACTGATCCATGCTACAGAATAGATGAACTTCAAAAACATACTAAGTGAAAGACAATAGACACAAAAAGCTACATATTGTACAATTCCACTTATATGAAATGTCCAGAAGAGGTATTCCACAGAAATGGAATGCAGACTGGTAGTTGACAGGGATGAGGAGAAGGGAATGGAGAGTAACTGCTTAATGGGGACAGGGTTTCATTTTGGAGTGATGAAAATGTTTTAGGACTAGACAGTGGTGGTGGTTTTACAACACTGTGATTGTACCAAATACCACTGAATTATCCCCTTGAAATGGTTAATTTCATGTTATGTGAATTTCACCTTGATATAAATAAATAAATAAGTACATACATAGATAAATAGATAGATAGCAAGGGAAAAAATGTGGAAGATTCATCAACCAAAAAACAAAACACACAAAAAAAGATGTTTATAAAAAAATTTCTTTAAAGGAGGATGGGGTGCAGAGGGAGGAGGCTGGTGTTAGGAATCACTATTACATTCACATCAAGCTGTCCAAACCTAGCTAAACCACACTTCTCTATTCTATGGGTATACCTGCCAAGTGGAAAGGTCACCTAAACATCTAGCAAAAAGACCAGAATTCTAGAATTGCCTAACCCTTTCCTGGCAATTTCATCATAAACTGGGGTCATAAATTCAAGGGCCATGTTTATGAACCAAATTTAGGATACCTCCTCCAGTAGGTACTGAAGATATTCCCAGGAACAATGGATTTCACTTTAAAATCCAGGATATTTGGCTGTTAAAACTACAACTCTCTATGACTCTAATACTCAAGGGATTAAAAGAATTCAGCCTCAGAGATTTTACTTATAGTAATAGTAAAACCATAACTGAATATGATTGCATTTTAAAGGCCTAGTTCATTTGCAATTCTGCCAGAGAGTCACAAGCTGCAGCTTCAGTGATGCCTGCGGTCACTGGGGTTAGAGGACTCCCGGTCCCAGGACTGCGGGGACCTTTTATGCCTGTGGGACTTATCTCGGCTCCTACTTCTACCTCTCTGACTACGCCCCTCAGAACGCCCATTGTGCCGGCCAGAATGTGTGTCTGAGCTTTGACACCTATGTCCATCCCTGTTCCTTTCTTCTCTTTCTTTCCTTCTGGATGAGGACCTATGTTCATGCTTAGGCTTCTCCTTCTTCGGCTCCCTCTCTCTGTCTTCTGCTCCACTGCGGCAGATGGTCCTGACCTCAGGAGAGCTGGGATGGTGCCTCCGCACCTCTCTGGACTCTGACTTCTGACCGCTCTCTGAGTTCTTGCTGCTGTGCTTTTTAGAGCCAGGGTCATCCTTTTCCTTGACCACCTTGTTTCTGGGTGATGAAGAGGAGGCTGGCTTCTCTGCCTGTACCTCCCGGTCAGTCTTCTCTTTTTCTTTCTTTCTCCTCTTTTTTCCCCTTTTGTCTTTTTTGTGTTTTTTTGTGGGCTTGTCATCTTCAGAACCCTTAGATGAACTCACTGAGGGGGTGTAAGCCCCGCAGCCCTTCTCCTGGAGTTCTTTGGTCATATCATCCATTTCTACTGAGTCTTTAGGAGCCCGATAGTTAGACACATGATCCACTCGGATAGTTCTTCCTTTGATCTTGAGCCCATTAAAATTGTCAACAGTGAGAATTGTGCTCCTCTGATCTTCATAGCAGAGGAAACAGAATCCTTTGGATTTCCCAGTCTTCTTGTCCCGCACCAGATTAATATTAACAATCTCCCCATATTGTGAGAACACACAAATGATGTCCCGTTCAGTCAGTTCGTAAGGAAGCCCTCCCAGGAAGATCCAGGCGCTGTCCTTATACCCGGAGTGCCAGGACGCCTTATTCGCCACCCCAAGCTGGACCTCACGCTCATTCAGCTCGTTGATCAGCTTCACTTTAGTTAAAAGGTTCATCTCCGCGGATCTGCGCTCAGCACCTAGTCACAGACTTCCGGGCGAGCCTGCGTCGCGCATGCGCAGCCCTCTGGTTTCCTTGTATTACAAATAACCATAGTCATCAACCTTGCAGGCAGGTTATCATGCATGCTTGTGGGAAATTACTGAGATAGCCTTTATAATAAAAAGCCTGACACATAATAGGTGTTAGTGATGGGTAGCTTTTGGTATTATTAGATTCAAACTATTATCAACTTCAGTCATCTATACTCCAGCTAAGACTAGCTCAGGACCTGCTGACCCTGTTGTGGGTCCACAGTTCCCCATGGAGGCAGGGGGAATTAGGTCTAGACATCTCCACTGTGATCACAAGGTCAAGGAAAAACCTTTTCTCCCATCTTCCTCTGTAGCATCTAAAGAATTCAGTTTCTAGAAGAAGGACCTTCCAGATCTTTTCTCTCTTTCTTTGAGAGGATGAGAAAGAAGACATGTGTGTGCGAGCTGGAGAGAGAGGCAGAGGGAGAGGAAGAGACAAAATCCCAAGCAGGCTCCATGCCCAGATCCAAGCCCTATGTGGGGCTCGATGAGGGGCCTGACATGGGACTCAGTCCCACAAACCCGGGGTCATGACCAGAGCTGAAATCAAGAGTCAGATGCTCAACCGACTGAGCCTCCCAGGTGCCTCAAGGAACTTCCAGATCTTGACACAATTGACACTGGGAATGTCAAGTCCTACATGAATGACCAGCTTCCTGTTCACTGGGATGGAGCTCACTGCAGCTCGATGCAACACATAATACAACACAACACAACACAACACAACACCTCCCACAGTCATGAGATGTATTCATGGGAACAGGGATGTTGATTGCTGAAGCAAGAACTCCCGCACTGTCCTCTACAGCGATGATGTGCAAACAGTGTGAAGGCCACATGGCCTCATCAGGAGACGAACATCTTTCTGAGTCACTAGGATCATTTCTAGTATTTAAAGGCTCTATTTTAATCAGCTGTTAAACAGATTCTTCCAGTGCATTTTTATCTTTCAAATTTCTTCTAAAAGTTCCATTGTTCCATTAAGGAAGTTACGTGCTGCCTAAATTTCCTAACAACATAGGACATGGTCACAGATTACTGGCCAATAGTAAACTATTTTCTGGTAATACTCACTAATGCACTTCATTCATTCATTCATTTGTCCATCCATCCATTCATTCATTCCTTTTACTTTTTGACCCCTTTCACCCATTTCTTTCACCCCCACTGCCACCCCATGCCTACCTCTCTCTGGCAATCACAGATCTATTCTCTGTATCTATGGGATTGTTTGGTTTTGCTTTTCAGATTCCACATATGAGAGAGACATACACTTTGTTTTTGTCTGTTCTGACTTATTTTATTTAGCATAATGCCCTCAAAATCTACCCATGTTGTTACAAACAGCAAGATTACATTCTTGTTTATGGCTAAATAATATCCTAATCTCTCTCTCTCTCTCTCTCTCTATCTATCATCTATCTATCTTACATCTCATTTTCTTTACCACTTATCCATCATCAGACACTTACATTGTTTTCATATCTTGGCTATTGTAAATAATGCTGCAATAATATGAGAGTGCAGATATTTCTCGGTTAGTTTTTTTTTCTTTGGATAAATATTCAGAAGTGAAATTTCTGGATCATAGGTAGTTCTATCTTTATTTTTTGAGGAACCTCCATAATGTTTTCCATAGTGGCTACACCATTTATATTACCATCAACAGTGATTGAGGGTTTCTTTTTCTCCACATCCTTGCCAATAACACTTGTTATTTCTTGTCTTTTTTAAAAAATAGGCTTCATGCCCAGCAAAGAGCCCAACATGGAGCTTGAACTCATGACTCTGAGATCAAGACCTGCCTGAGACAAGACCAAGAGTCTGATATTTAACCAAATAAGCCACACAGGCAAACTTCCTTCAATTTTTATTTTTTATATTGTCGAAATATGCTACTTTTAACAGGTGGGAGGTGATATCTTATAGTTTATATTTCCCTGGATTAATGATGTTGAGTATCTTTAAAAATTTTTTTTTAATGTTTATTTATTTTTGAGAGGCAGAGAGACAGAGTGTGAGTTGGGGAGGAGCAGAGAGAGAGGGAGACACTGAAGAGAGAGAGAATCTGAAGCAGGCTCCAGGCTCTGAGCTGTCAGCACAGAGCCCAATGTGGGGCTTGAACTCACGAACCGCGAGATCGTGACCTGAGCCAAAGTTGGATGTTTTGCCAACTGAGCCATCCAGGCGCCCCTAATATAATTCTTATTGTGGTTTGTGTTCAAAAAATGTTTAAAAATACTGACCTCGAGCACTTTTTACTCTGTGATTCCCTGGCCAAAAAAAAAAAAAAAAAAAAAATTCACTGAACGACTCTAGTCTCCCTTATCTGTGGTTTCAGTTACCTGTGGTCAGCTGTGATCCAGAAGTGGATGGTCCTTCTGACAATATGTCAGAAGGTCAATAGCAGCCTAGCAATAGGTCACAATGCCTAAGTCCTTCCCCTCACTTCACCTCATCACATCGGCATTTTATCATCTCACATCATCGCAAGAAGCAGGGTGAGTGCAGTATGATAAGCTATTTTGAGAGAGAGAGAGACATGCATACTACATTCATATAACTTTTTATCATAGCATATTGTTATAATTGTTCTATTTCATTATTCATTGTTGTTGCTAATCTCTTATCATGCCTAATTTATAAATTAAACTTTATTATGGCTAACTTATAAATTAAACTTTATCATAAGTATGTGTGCATCAAAAAACCCCATAGTATATATAAGGTTTGGTACTACACGCCGTTCAGGTGTCGCTGGGGATCTCAGAACATATCCCCTGTGGATAAGTGGGACTATTGTATTTTCTTCTCTAACGAACTGATGTAGGCACACATTTGTGTACTTTAAACATATTTGCATAGTATACTGGCACTAAATGTGGTATACCCGTAGATCTGAAGCTCAGACCAGAAACCTGCTCTAGCTCATGATTTGTGTGTGTATGGGGGGGGAGGGCGGGGGGTTGTGGCAGGTAGATGGTAGGTTGTCAAAGTGGAAGCTTTAGCAGGATACAGAATCACCTGGAAAGAGTGTGTGGATGAGCAGAAAAAGAGGAGAGGGTAGAATCTGGGGAACTATTTACCTTTAAAGCCGGAATATTGGAAAAGGAGCTCCCAAGAGGCACTGCAATGGGACAAAGAAGTGGGAGGGATCCCTGGAGGGTGTTAGCATGGGAGCCAAGAGAGGAGAGAGTCTGAAGAGCAAGGAGTGGCTCAAGATGGTCCAGCATGGCAGGAGGTCAAGCTAGGTAAGAGCTGGAAAGCATGCATTGAGTTGAGCAATGTGGAGCACCCTGGTGACCTTGGTTGGTGCCTTTAGTCAAGTGGTGGCAGTCAGACTGTGAGCGACTGAACGGTGAGTGCAGAAGGCAGACACAGGGTTGCTGAAATGTTTGGCAATGAAATGGGGAGTTGGCTAGACAGGGGATAACTGGTTTGTACCAGAAACAAACTTGACCCTAGTGTTACAGAAAGACAAAATATTCACAAGCTAAGCTTCTAAGAAGGTGTAGGGACATTTTATCTCTGTTACAGATGAGTGAAACTAGGGATTCCCACCCCCTACTCCCAACAGGTTCCGTCCTCTCTTAACAGTCGGGTAAGAATTTCTGGTAATTGCTGAGACCAGATTTTAGAATTATGATGAAGACTATTGTTGCTCTGGTTATTTATACAAGCAATGGTTAAGTTTATTTTGGAATTGTGATTCCAAAATAATTGTATGTGCATGATACAATTAAAAATCCCTAGTGAGAAGGAGGGAGGAAAAAAGAGTATGAAACAGTAGCCAAAAGAAAAAAATCACACGGATAGACCATTAACAACATTACTGCTGTCACTGCATAAAGAATTATGAAATAATGGATTGTATTCTGAAAACAGAAAATGCCATGGGTAACTGATAGAATCCAAAATTACAGATTAAATTTACTCTACTTTCATGATGAAAACCAGACTTGAAATTACTTTTGATTTGTCATTTTTGCTTTACCAAATGTTTGAGACAATTAGGATGTAGGCACCTTACCCCTGACATTTCTTAGTCAAGATTAGAATTCTCTGTTCAGGTTTGTGGGCCTTGGGGCTGTAATTATCACAGCCTCAAGGGAGATTATCAGGTATCGTATAATTATTGTGACATCTTGTCTTTAAGGGGTAAGGAAATTTGCATCCAGAGTATAAGTATTTGTTTCCTTGTTTCCCTGGGGGAGTGAAGAAAGTTGAGAACCCTGATTAAGTCACCTTATCTAACAAACTTTGGGCATAAAGTTCATTTTCAGAGATGAAGGAACTATGTATAATTCCTGAAAGAAACTTACCCCAAATCAGAGAGCAAGTAAAAAAGGTCCAGTTTAAGAAATTGAAAGCTATGAAGAAAGGATATTGACGAATCTTCCTTAGGCTGCTTTCATAGCAGTGAGTAATTGCCTTAAGGTAAAAGCTCATCTCTTGTGTTCTAGAAAATTCTCAGACCATTCAATTCACAGAAAAACCACTCATTGTTTGTGATTGACCAGCATGTGAAAAAACTTGTTTAATGGGTTAGAAATGGAAGTGTTTGCCTTGAACAAAAATGTGTAGTATTGGAGATGAGAAGTATTGCTAGTTTTGCTGAATTTAAATAGTCATCTATGTAAAGGGTCTCAGGATCGAGAATAATCTCCTTATTCCCAAATATTTTGAAAGATGAAATCATGTGTGTGTGTGTGTGTGTGTGTGTGTGTGTGTGTGTGTATGTGTGTGGTGGTAGTGGTGAGTTCACTTCAAGTGTAAATCATGTCCTGGGTGGAGCAAGTGGATTTACAGGAAAAGTAACTTTCATGTTAATTCAATTCCTAATTGCAAGTCAAGGTGACTCATTTGGGTATCTGAACGTCAATGTACTGACTCCTCCCTGGCTATTTTTGTATAAGTTAAGATGCCTAAAACCCTAAGTTTCTTCTTAAATGTCTCTTCATACCTGTCATTTTTGAAGTTGT